GGGGGGGGGGTATGTTAAGAAGAGAAGAGGGTTGTGTTGGGCTGGGACCCAGGAAAAGTAAAGATTAAGATAAAAACGCGGTCTGACCCTTTCCAAGCCCAGAATATCCATCAGAAGAGATGACCAGGAGCAGGAAACTGAAGCCCAGCAAACAGGTGGCCCCGAGGCGAGGCCGCAGCTCCATGGCGGTAAGTGCGCGGGGCACCCGGCAGAGCAGACGCGGGGCCGCAGTCCTAGCAGGAGGTCCGCGCCGTTCCCCGAGCGCCGCTCGACCCAACCCCTGCCTTCCCAGATTTTTTTTTCCTTTTCTTCCCCTTAACCCTGAAGGAAGTGATGTTAAACGGATGTGGGTGGTGCCTCCGGGGTCCGGCTTGGGACCGATTGAGCTTAAAGGTGCAGATCACGTAGAAGGGTTGGCGTGTTGCTCTCCAACGCTAGTTGCTTCCCCCTCCCCGCCCCGATTCTGAAGGTTCGGTGGGAGGACAGAGAGGGGAAAGGTGGGCGGAGAGCGTGCGGGGCCGGGAGGAGGCTTCGGAGAACCGTTGCTGGCGGCGAGTGCCAGCCCGCGAGCCCCGCCCCCCAGAACCGCTGCACTTAATGTTAACAACACCAATTATTGATCGGTGAAGTCAGCCGCTCCGAACAGTGGGCGGGTTGCCCGTTGGCCTTGGATCCCGCTTCCCCCGCCGCAAATATACAAGACTCGACTGTCGGGCTTCATTCTTAGGTTCCGGCTTAGGTCTCCAGGAGACCTGGCAAACCTGTTCTGTGGGACATGGTCTCGGTGCCTCGAAAGAATGCCTCTTCTTGCTGGAGTAGAAGCGCTGGACCTTATTTTCCTTGCAACCGCAATTCGTCCACTCAGGGATTATGCAATTAACTAATAATGCCAGCTCCGAGAAAACCCGAACTTGGTATCTGTTATTGCAAAACTGACCTAGCTCTTTAGGGAACCAGGACAGAAGTCACTGCAGGCATTTTTAAACTGTAAGGCTTCTTCTGGTTAAATCTATTTGTTTCTGTTGTTTTAAAATTTTGCGAGTAGAGCATTTCTCCAAAATTTTTCCTCTCTGTGTCATAACAGGTCAAAATTTCCCGTCTCTCCTCCTCAGTGTAGACTAGTTGAGTAAGACAGTGCATACTTAATGCCTAGTGAAAGACAACTGACAAAGTACACACAAACAAAAATACACGCTGCCTTTTTTTTATTATTATTAGGCTCCTTACAGATTGCAGGTACAGACACAATGGAACGCTGGAGAGACTGCAAGCTCCAGAATGCAGCGCGGCCACCTGCACCGGCCACCTTCCTATTGGCAGGCGCAGAGCAGGCTGGGCCCTGTAGTTCGTACATGCTCTCCCCGGATAGGTTGCTCCGGTGAGGGCTGGCTGTGTCACGTGGACCCCGCTCCCGCCGCCGCCGCCTCAGTCGTCTTTCTCTGTCTCGACTGAGGCAGCCATCTTGCTCTTGCCGCGTGCTGGTGTTGGAGGACCCTCCCTGCTTCAGGTGAGACCCCCGGCGGTCCCGCCACTCCACGGCCATAGGCCGCTGCGCACGGTCTCCCCCCGCCCTCTTCTTCCGACACCCGCCAACCGCTCGGGCTGCCACTTCCGCCGTGGCGCGCCAAGTGGGGGCGGAGGCGGCTAGTTTGGCCTTTTCGGTTACCGGCGGCGCAGCTGGGGGTCGGCACCTGGGGGAAGGTCCCCAGCACCACCGCCCCCTGTGGGGGCGAGCGGGCCAGCGCTGTTGCCACCCAGGTTCAGCCCCAGGAGGCGGGGGATCACCGGCCTCTGTCCTGTTACTCTTCATTATTCACAGCGGTGCTGTGAGCTGTACACAGCCAGGCTGTTGTCATCTCATTTGATCCTCCCCTACAGATAGGGAAACTGAGGTTAGCAGCCCCCGGTCCCCTAGCGCCCGGGACCGGACCGTCACCTCCTCATGGCAGCACTTGCTTACCAGTCGGCCTCCCACTCTGAGACGCTGCCCTGCCCATCTTCGCAGCCCCAGCACACTGCTGGATGCTTAGTAGGCTGTCAGGAAATGCATGGCTGACCGACAGACAGTGTGAAACCGCTAGTGAATGGTGGTTTCAGCTTCCTTTCCCAGGTTCTTGCACTAATACCATAGCTGCCCCCTCGACATTGGTAACAATAGTTACCAGTTTCTGCGCGTCCACTGTGAGTCATACCCCGTGTTATTGATCGTTTAACCTTTAACCACTTAAGAAACCCTACGAAGTGTGTGGTGTTGACACTTTTTCTGGTACAGAGGGAACACGGGTTCAGAGAAGTAAAAGACCTTTAGGGAACCCTAAGTGGTAGAACCTTGATCCTCCTGATTCCAAAGCCTGTGCCTCTGTTTAGAGAAACTCCACATGACCAGGGGAAAAAAAAAGTCGGGACTAAAGGTTGAAATTCTTTTACCTCTGTGGAAACATGATGTATGTGAAAGTGCCTACTACAATGCTTGGAACTTAGGCACTCAGTATATTAGTATTGAGTATAACTTCAGTATTGATACCCTTTCTTGAGTACTTGAGGAAAGAGCTAAAAGATTCTAGGAACCCCAAAGCCAAGCTCATTAGTCATGTGGCTTTAGGAAGTTACTTCTCCCTTCTGGGCCTAGAAAGTATCTTCTCCCTTCTGGGCCCTCATTTGCAAATCTATTAAATTGGGAAGGAGGTGCACTGTTCATAATTTTCAACCTGCTGCTGCTTGCAAGTATTTGAGATGGCCTTACATACAAGACAATAAATTACAGGTCGATTGAGGAATAGGGAAGTAAACCAGGTGATCTTTAAGGTTTAGTCCAGATTCTAAGCTTGACATCTCATAGACAGAGACCAATCCTCTTTCCTACTTGAATTCCATACACCCCAACCTGCTAATAGACGAAAGACCACCCTTCTTCCTCCCCTACCCTCTTGAGTTCCCGACCTCCCTAAAATGCTTTTTTTCTGAGATACTCCTTGAGAACAAGTTCTCTGTTGTCCTGATTACCTGAAATGGAATCTTTTCTTTCATCTGTGCATTGATATAAATAGTTAATTTTGTTGCTTTTGTTTCAGACAAGTCAGGACTCTTTATCTTGACTTCTGTCTCTTCCATCTCTTCTTGGAGACTGTCACTTGAAAATGCGGCAGAGTCCCAAAAGGTGTACCCTATGTCTAGTCCTAATATTTTCACTTAGCCCCTTTTTTTGTCAAAAAAGTCCTCAGGCTCTTCTGTTAGTTCACTACATCTTCATGGCCAATTCCTTTGAGAAAAGTGAACACTGATGCTTTTCTGTGGATACCGAGCGTAGAGATTGGGGTTTAAGTCTGTGGCACGTTGAGATTGGCACACATTGAAGACTTCCGGTTTTGTATTCTAATCATACTTCCCCCTATAAAAGATTGTTTTTAGCTGCTTGAGCATTGTGATACAGTGCTGAGCAAAGATTTAAGGAATCATAAATTCTAAATGTTATTTGATTAGGCTGAACAGCTGGGAAAACAAAGACTGTAAATAAATACTGAATGTAAAAAAAATAAATGTTACTTGAAAACTGGACTTTATTTTGCCTTAAAGCAGAGATACAGGCAGGTTAGTGCCTAAGTACAGTGTCAGAATATGGAATGTTTAATACTTATATAATCTTTGATTCTTTTTTATCTCCCAAATGAAGAAAACAATCTTTTTCATCTGAATGATGATTATAAAGAGGTTAGAAAATTGGCCAAAAAAGGTTTTGATAACAGGCTTGCACTTTATTCCATCTCTCACATCTCAGTAGTAGTCTGTTGATTCACAGAACAAGTAAAACAAAACTTTAACATTGGCTTTTATTTGTTTATATAGTGTGGAATGCTACGGCCCATTATAAACTTAACAACTTTTTTTCCTTAGGACAAGTATCACTGACCAGACTAGGATTCATGATTTTATAATGTTATTAGAATTTTCAAAATTAAGTTTAGCCTTAAAGAGCTTATATTTAAAAAGCCTCTTCACCTCCCCACCTCCACCCCCCAAAATTAGTATTAATGTAGCAGAGATATGTTTTTGTCAAATTGTGCAGTAAGGCATTATACTGTGTATGCAAGCATATCTTGATAAGTATTACATACTGTATCAGGGCAAGGTATTGAATGAACTCTGTGGAAAGTGCTGCAGAAGCACTGAACGTCTAAAAACCTGATTCTCTTTCCCTGTTATGAACATACCATCTGACCTTGAATAAAGGACACGACTACCTCATATCTTGACAGCTAGACAGCCTATTGTTAAATTTTTTCTTTGTCCAGCTTTTTTTCCCTTTTGTCTTCTAGTTATGGTTTACAAGGAATACAGAATGTGATTTGGGAGAAAAAATCCTACTTAAAGGTTGTGCTAATAACATTTGGTAACAGCTCTCTGCCCTAAAAATCTTTGAGGGAAAAACTGGCTTGCCTAGAGAGATTTCGTAATTGGTTAGGTTTTACTGAATGCCAAAGTACCGAATCATGCTTTTAAGGAGGGATCTTCAAATAGGTAACTGAATCCCATTCTATTTTCTATTTGTATATTCAACTCCCTCATGGTATTATTTAATTTTGGTTCTTTTAATATCTGGTTTATGAAGCTAGAAAAAGTTATTAATATTTATTAAGAATATAGACAGATTTAATGTGATCATGGTGGTAATGAGTACTGCAAACTCAGTGAACCAAGAGGGTACTGTTGCATAAACAGTTATTTTATTTTGGTAAAACAGTGACTTTAACAAATCTATTTTTCCCCCCCTAGATTTACCAACAGCATGAATCAAGAAAAGTTAGCCAAACTTCAGGCTCAGGTCCGGATAGGGGGCAAGGTGAGTGTGGCACAAGAAAAACTGACAGGAGAATGTATTATTACAGATAATATTATTATTATTATTTTGGACTTGTGGTCATTGAAAATCTAAAATCTTTTCAATAATCAAGATCAAACCACATTCCAATTTGAAAATAACTTTTCTAGATCTAAAATAGATAACTAGAAGACTTCTCTCTCTTATGATACAATGGAAATAGCCACCTTTGTTTAAATCCTCTTAACATCTGGTAGTTTTGTGACATGAACAAGCTACCCAGCCTTTTTAAGCTTCCATTTTTACATCTGCAAAAGAGAAATAATCGTACATAAGATGCTCCTAAAAATTAGAATAATATTTATAAAACACCTAACATGGTGTCTGGCACATAGTAGGTAACAAATAATAGCTGCTATTTTTATTATTATTTTAAAGATTTATTATTTATTTTTAGGGGGGGAGGGAGAGAGAGAAAAAAACATCTATTGGCTCCCTCCTGCATGCCCCCTACTAAGGATGGAGCCTGCCACCCAGGCATGTACCCTGAGCAGGAATTGAATCAGCAACCTTCTGGTGCACAGGACAGTGCTCAACCAACTGAGCCACATAGGCCAGGGCTAGTAGCTATTATTATGTTAGACTCACCTACAGGGCATCCCAGATGTTAAGGTTACCTCATCTTGATTTGATACTCTTTCAGCTACAGTATAGTTTATGGTTTACAAGTGGTTTAACGAGATATTCAAGCTGATTGTACATTTTGTTCATTGCTAGGTTTTCCTCCCAAATTCCTGCCCATATGAACATGAGCTTCTTATTCCATGTACTTTGAAGCCTAAGGAAGAGCTAGTTCTGAGCACCGAAAGTGTTTGATTCCCTTTAGCTCTCGCCCTAGGCTAAAGGAGAATATTCTACCCTTATCTCTGCCCAGTACAATCTTTGTAAAAGGAAAAGCAAGAACAGTGCTTACGTCAGACCTGGGAAAGGGTAGGTAGGACACTATGTAGCAGCCCAACTTTGTCTTTTGCTTTGATGATAGCCACAGCTCCTGGGAATGGGGACAGGAGAGGATGAAGGGAAGAAGTGCCTAGTGCTTTCTCCTTTCATAGTGATACAATTATATGACTCTGGAGTCATATTAACATTAATGTAACCAAAGTAGTCACATTGTAGCATCAGATGTAATGTACCAATGCAAAAACTAAGGATATTCAAGAACCATAGAAGATACCTAGAAAAACTTGATACAGCACATCACTATTATATATATTTTAAGCTAGGTGGTTGGCATATTCATTCATTTAACTTGTTTATTGAGCACCTACTATGTGCATAGCACATAGAAGATCAACAAGTTAAGGTTTCCTTCTCTTGACACAGCTCAACTTAGAAGAGAGACATGCTCACAATTACACTACAGAGTAATAAATGTTAAAATGAAGTACAAGGCATTCTTGCCTAGGAGAGACAAGGAAATCATCACTGAGCTGAAATTTGAAGAAAAAATGTATCACTAGGTAGACAGGTGAAGAGGGTAAGTGGGTAGGTTGGAAAGAGATTGTTATTTTCACACATTGCAAAGGCACAAAAGATGCTGAGATAACTTGGTGCTTTAATGGGATGGTTTGCTTTAGTTTGGTACAGCTAGAGTTTAGAGTATAATTTGGGGTGGGGTTAGAGTCTTATATGCCATGCTAGGAGCTGAAGATTTTATCCTAGAGGCAAGGACAACTATTGAAGGACTTGAAGACGGAAATAACAGTCATTTTAGAAAAATAACTGCTGGCAATGTGGAAAATGGAATGAAATAGAAGTTTGCATAGAGAACAGTTGAGAAGCTACTGCTACAGTGTGTGGGACACAAATTTTGGGGTTGGAATTGACATGACTGATAGAATATGGAGGATGAAGGGAAGAGAAGAGTCTGGGATGATCCCCATATTTCTGGCTTTAGAGACTGGATGTATGGTGGTACAACCAGCTATAAAACTTAGGAAATATAGGAAGAATCATTTGAGAGACTGATAAGCTTTTAGACATGTTGAATTTGAGGTGTCTTGAGTATCATTTGAGTTGAGGTATCCAGCAAGCAATTAAGCTATCCCTGAGTCAGGAATGTTTCACAAATAAATGACCATCTATGTAAATAGTCACTCATGGTCCCTCCTTCAGCAACTGGATTTCGTCACAACCCCTACTGTACTCACAGAGTTCTCTTCCACTCCCACTGGAGTTGCTGGAACTGAAGCCCCTGCCTACCCTCAGTAAGGCTGAATACTACTGTAGGAGCTACTCAGAGATTAAAACCTCCATTTCTTTCCCCTTATTCCTGCCAGGTCTCAAAAATGGTTAGCCCTCAAGATGCAGGCTGCTTTTGTTAGTGTTTCAGCTCTGCTTTAGGTTTCATTTTTATAAATTGGCCCAGGAATTTTATTCATTATTTTAAGTAGTTTTTTAGTGGAAAAAGATATTTAGAATTTCAAAGTATCCATTTAAAAATGAGCTTATCTTAATAAATAGTATCAGTTTCAACCCATTTGCTTAGGCCAAAATTCTGAGCATCATTCTAGTTTCCTTTTTTCCTCATATCTGACATCCAGTCCATCAGCAAGTCCTGTTGGTTCTTCTGACAGTCTGAGCTCACCTCATCTCCACTGCCACAATCCTCATCTCTCATCAGGACTGCTATAGTAGCTTCCTGATTGATCTCATTATAGTTCATTTCCCACAGCAACCTCACTCATCTTTTAAATTTGTAAATCTGGTCAAGTCATTTCCATGCTTAAAACCTTCCAATGGCTTTATATTGCAATTGGAATAAAATCCAACTCCTGCCTGTGGCATTCTAGGCTACATTACCTGGCCCTTGCCTATCTTTCGGATTTCATTTTCTTCCTCCTTTCCTGTCATTCATTCTGCTCTAGCCATACTGGCCTGCTTTCTCTCTCTAGACACAACAGGTTCACTCTTGTTTCATTCTGCTTGGGTCAGTCTTTCCTGTGGGTCTCATTTCATATCTCACTTCTTCAGAGAGGCCTTCCCTTAACATTCTGATAAAATAGTGCTTAGCTCCCACCCAATACTTTTATCACTGTGTTTTCTTAATACCCTTATCCCATGATACAATTTGATTCTGTATTTATTGACTCTACCCTCCCACTGTAATATATGCTCCTTGAAGTAAGAACTTGATGTTTTTTGTTCCTGGTACATTGTAGGCATTTGATTCTTAATTATGGCATAATCTCCAAAGATTCAGAATATCTTAAGACTTTATTGTCAGGGTGTGGTAGATAATATAAAAAAGTATTCCTTATAATGTTTGAAAGTTGTTATAAAGCACATTAAATTGTCTTGAAGTTATGTTATTTTTTTATTAGAAAACTTTTGAAACAACATGTTGAAATGATAAAGGCTCGATATTGGAAAGAATAAGAGCTGGCTAGAACTGACCTTCAAAAATCTTGATTAGGCTGACAAACACAACTCTGAGCATTGTTAATCATTACTATTAAGTCAGCAATTTCTTATGTGGGTTTTAGAGTACTGTGGATAGGAAGACATGTGATTGCAGTTGCCAGATGCAAGGCATGCTAAACCTTCTGTTTGGTTATTTTTCAGGGTACAGCTCGCAGAAAGAAGAAGGTGGTACATAGAACAGCTACAGCTGATGACAAAAAACTTCAGAGTTCTCTAAAAAAATTGGCTGTGAATAATATAGCTGGTATTGAAGAGGTATGATTACTTTGTAAATTGTTAAATTATGTGGACAAATAGCACATTCACAAATAATTATCCACACTTTTTAAGTGTAAAATATCACCTTAGGAGAATCTGATATTATCACTCAGATCTCTTTGAAGGACTATAGCTGTTGAATTTACTTATTGTATATAATTGGATGATTGTGCAAAAAATGATTTTAGTAGACAGTTAAAGAATTCATCATACTTTTCAGACTGAAAGTATTTGCATATATGAGAAAATTATGGAACTGCTCTTGAATTTTAATGTAAAATAAGATTTTTTTCTAATGATCTAGAAATAAAGAAACCCCAAGATTTCTTCAAATACAGTGGACTTTTTTTCCATAAGAGCACCATTCTGCTCTATAAATCTAATTATTACCTCAGCCAAGAATAGCTTTCTATAGATTAGATTTCTTACTAGTCCTCTTTCAAAAGTTATTGATTAAATGGTTTTAAATCATTTAATTATATTTTGATGATACTACTTCTCTCAAGTATGAAGCCAAAAATTGTTATTTCAAAAGACACTCAAGAAAAATAGTATCAACTACTTGTGGTGTTACCATCTAGATCCACTTCTACCTAATGATTCCATTTCTGATAGTAACCAGTGTTTAAATTTTCACTGCCATAAGTTAGATTTAATTATTTCCTTACTATGTGTGTAAGGAAATACTATGTGTGTGGTAACCACCTTTCCAGAGAAATGGAAAGTACCTGCCTTATATACTGTATTATTGAGCATCTCCCATGCAGAATTCATTATTTACACCATTGTAGATAAAAGAAATCCCCATCACTGTTTCTGAGGACATTGCTGTGTCTTCTTTTTCAGGTCTTAATGCAGGTGTTATTTCCTCCCAGAAATATTCTTGGTAGCACACATACATATTTGTGCAAAGAAAGGTTAGCTGCCTTTCCTATGTGCCTCCATAATATCCTGTTTTTACTTTTTTTATAGTATTAATTAAACTGAATTGTAAATTCCTTTTTGTTGGTATTGCCAATACAATTATAACTTCTTGTAGAGTCATAGTTCCAGAACATCACCTAAAAAATTAATGGTACATAATAGGCATGTACACATTCTCACACACACTGTATGTGTGTATGTATGTGCATTTTGTCTTCCAATCCTTACAAACTGGTTGCACTTTTATCAAGTAAAGTTCTAATCTTACTTTCTAGGCTGTCAGGATCAGTGATTTTTCTCCCTTCCCAAAGCTTAATTAAGTCCTCTTCAGAAACTTTAAAAACTGAAGGACTGTTTGGATTGAGACAAGCTTCTCTGGTCTTTTGTGTATGCATTAGTTCATTGATTTGGTGTAATAATTATAATGATGTATAGGTTTCTTTTACATGTTGCCAAAGACAAATCCAAAACTGTCAAAAAGTAGAGGGCAGGGGAGTCTCAGAGACAGTTTTTATACAAAGCCAAGTAAATAAGCAGGTTTTAGGAAGGAATTCCAAGGTAAATTCCAAGAATGTAACCCAGAACTAAATTTCTGGAAATGTTTTATGTTCTGTGACATTTGAAGATATTTGGATATGCTTCTTATTTGGTAATCTAGTTGGCTATAGTGACTGTGCTGTCACTTCCTCTTCAACAATAAGAGTGGTTCCATTTCTCAAAAACAATTGATTTTATCAGGTTTGATGAAAAATGTCACCAAAAATCTGAATCTCTGATTCAGATGGCCTAGTTGCTTCATAGAGTTTTACTATTACATTCAGCCTCTAAACTAAAGTTATTGGTTGACCCTTACCACAGTTCCTTCTTCCTCCAGCTAGAGCCTCAGGTGCCGATGAGTGGATGGCTCTGAGTATAGGAGAATATAAGGTGGTCCATTCACCTTATCATTTCACAGCAGCCTTACTTTATCTTTTAATTTCATGCTTTTACTATCTTTTTATTGTGATATATACACACACACATGGTTGAGCAAAAGTAGGTTTACAGTTGTGACTACTCGAAGCACAGAGTTTATTCTTGTATTACTTATTAGTTATTGTATTGTTTTCCATGCAAACAACTGTAACCCTATTTTTACCCCACCCTGTATATAATATAATATAAAATTTTGCCATTTAAACTGTTTTAAGTGTACAATTCATTGGCATTAATTACAATCACAATGTTGTACAACCACCACCATTATCTATTTCCAAAGTTTTTCATTATCTCAAACAGAAACTCCATACCCATTTAGCAATAATTCCATTTCCCTCTCCCTTGGCCTCTGATAACCTCTGACCTACTTTCTGTCTCTGTGATTTGACTATTGTAGATATTTCATATAAGTAGAATCATACAGTATTCATCCTTTCATTTCTGCTTACTTCACTTAGCATAATGTTTTCAAGGATCATCCATGTATAGAACTTCACTCCCTTTATAGCTAATACTCCATTGTATCGATAATATCACATTTTATTTATTCATCTGTTGGTGAGCATCTTTTGTTTTTAAAATTGCTTTCTCGCCTCAATATAAAAGTATATTGTCATTGTAGAAAATTAGGGATATATAGAAAACATAAAAAGTTACTAATATTCAACCATAATCTCATCACCCAGAAATAACTGTTAGTCTTGTATTTCTTTCCAATTTTGTATGCATAAATTTTTATACATATACATACATATATCTGAGGCTAGAGAGACACAATTTGGAATCCTTTTTCCCCCAAATAACATTATATTATAAAAGTTGTTTCATATCAATAAAATATTCTTCTAAATCATCAGTCTAGATGTCTGCATATATTCTAATATGTGAGTATATCATAATTTAACATATCTTTATTATACATTGTAATGCTTAGATAATAATAGAATCACATGTTGGACTTTTAGATATAGAAAATTATCCCAGCATATCATATAGTATAATGACAGCTGTTTGCTTTAGCTTGTATCAACAAGAATAGGTTATACTTTATACTTTAAAACTAAACCGGTGCTGAGCTTCAAAGGATTGAATGAGAAAAGCACTGACTTACGGGAGTGTGCACAAAGCCCATCATCCTCAAAATATGATATCCCTTAGAGTCACAAAACCCCAGATATTTATGGGCCTTATTCTTAAAATCTCTATTATTTCACCTCATTAAGATATAGGAGGAAGGCAATAAAAATGAATTTTCTGATAAACATTTAAGTGCCACTATAGGAAGGAGTGGCAATAAAACTTGGGTTTTAAGACAACTGTCAGTTTTCAGAACTGCAGCTACCTGACCTAGTGGGGACTTGGATACAAAAAAAATCACAAAGCAGAAAAATTGAAACCTCCTCTCTGAACTGAGAGGGCCGTTATCAGCAAGTGCTATGGAGTCAAGTATAATTTTGTGAGCCTCCTATAGCCATAAAAACTGCTGTGTAGGAATAAAACAATCATCATATTTTCCAGATAGAAGGTTGCTGTGATTAATATATGTACCCTACTTGGAAGCCAGGAAAGGCAGGGTTTTTAAAGTTTTGATAGCAGCATAATGGTGCCTACAGCAGTTGCCAGGAATGACTTAAAATGACCCTAAATTCTGTAGGGTAGTCGGGCTAATTCTGAAAGGTCAGAACAATAGGAAAAGTCAGGCCAAAGATATAGCCCAGAAGGTTCTGGGCATCTTCATTGGGGGTATTACTGGTGCTAGTTCTAAACCTTGAGATGACCCCACATTTATATTTGGGAGTTGAGGTCTGACAGCATCCATGATTTAGAATAAATTGTACAGGTGGTGTCCATTCATTCAGCAAATTTGAGTGACTATTATGTGCTGCTGGATACTTGGGAGTATACAAAGTCTAGTAAGGCATGGTCTCTGATCTCAAGGAGTTCATCTCTAATACAGTCAAAAACTTGCAAACATAATTATACTACAACAATTCTATTTCATTGTAATACCCATGAAGTAAACCATAAGTTTTTAGGAGCATCTGGCCCAAGACTTGAATAGGAATTTACAAGGTAGAAAGCAGGAAAAGGTTTTTCTAAAAAGTGAAAACTGCATATGTAAATGCACTGGGCATGAGAGGCCAAAATACTTTTTGGTAACTACAAAGGGTGTCAGCAATGTTAGAGCAAAAAATAAGAGCAAGGGCATCTGATGATTTGGACTGGGGTCTCAAAAATGCCTCCTGCATTGCTCAAGTAGCATCCTTTACTTTCAACTACCTGTTAAGTGGGGGGGGGGAGGGGGGACGACACAACATTTTGACATAAAAGAGCTATTTGATTGAAAAAGGGTATAGTAGCTAGTTTAATAGTCTTTGTTTACTTGTCTGCTCCTTGCTCTTATACTCTCTGTAGATTGTATACTTATTTAGACCAAATATCAGTAAAGTCACTGGAAAAACTGAATTCTCCATATAAAATACATGCAATTTGCTTTGTGAATTTAACAAGTTCTTTAGCCCTTCTTTACCTGTAAAAGTGTGGCGGAGGTGTCTAACTGATCAGCCCAGCAATTCATCCTTGGATAGTTTCTGACAGTTTGTGTCTAGGAGCCTTATATAACCATATCATTTGCTCAGCAGAGAGGAAGGGATGTTAGATAGAGATAAAATATTCTGGCCTTTTTACCTTCTAGTATTTTATCTTCTCCTAAAATTAACTAAATTTTCCATCCCTTTTTGGACCTTTTTATTTATGAAGCTACATTTTTTTATATAACCACACTTAAAATAACCATTAATAAATTTATTTCCCTTTCACAGTCTGAGATAGAATTCATCTTGCTTTTCACACTAAACTCACAACATATTTCAGACTACAAAAACCTAGGCCTACATCAGGATATAAAATATCACTTAACATTTAACCCTTGGAAAAGAAGCTCGAAGAGAAAGGAAAACTCATGAATTTGTTTATTCATTTTAGCCCTGGGTCATCCTCTTGTTTATTTTGTAGCCAGGAAGATATATATTATCCACATATGTGTGCTGTTTTCCTTTTGCATTCTCCAATTAGCCTATATTCTGAGGTAAATAATTCTCTAGGAGGCTTTCATGGGGCCACAGAAGTGAATTCTTATAGGCAAATAAACATTTTAAGAATGTGAATGACATCATAGGAAGGAAACTAAACAGAAAGTTAGGAAACCCAAGTTCAAGTTCTGGTTTACAAGTAACCAGCTATATGTCCTTGGGTATACTGCTTAACCAAGAGCTCTTCTCTTTAGTATTTATTTATTTAACAACAGATTGGAACTAGAAGTTAAAGAAATATATGGCCTGACTTTTGGGGGGAAAATATTGATTTCAAATCTTCTGTAATTTTAATGTCTGTAAATTTTTAAAATCTCAAATTCCAATATTTAAGACTTTTCATATCTGAAAGTATTGTAGAAATACTTCATTAAATTATGTGGTTTGGTCTTGATTTGGAAAATATAGTCCTACCATACCTTTTTCTTTTAATATGTCTATTGATTTCATAGAGAGGAAGGAGAGGGGGAGAGAGAGAGAGAAACATCAATGATGAGAGAGTCACTGACCAGCTGCCTCCTGCATGCCCCTCACTGGGGATTGAGCCCACAACCTGGGCATGTGGCCTGACCAGGAATCCAACCAAGATCTCCTGGACTGTAGGTCGATGCTTAACCACTGAGCCATGCGACTGGGCAGTCCTACCATATCTTTATTCTTTTTTTCTTTTCTTTTTTTCCAGAGAGAGGAAGGGAGAGGGAGAGAGAGAGAGATAGAAACATCAATGATGAGAGAGTCATTGATCAGCTGCCTCCTGCATGCCCCCAACTGGGGACAAGCCCGCAACCCAGGCATATATGCCCTGACTGGGAATCGAACTGGTTCATAGGTCGATGCTCAACCACTGAACCACGCAGCTGGGCCATATCTTTATTCTTTACCTGTACTAAAATTATGTGATTGTAGAATAGGTCCAGAGCAACATCTTATTTCATATCCACGGTGCCACCTTCTTCTCAAGCCATTTCTGTTCTGGACTTTCAGCCACTTTAACATTAAACTTCCCTAACTAAACTATGATTATCATCAGAACTATATATGTTTTTTAAAGTTAATATAAACTATTTTTAACTCACAATGATATTTGTTCAGAACAGCTGGATTGAATGCTTAAGTGCAATACTGAGTGAGGGAAGGGTATAGAATTGAAATAGTGATTTTTGTCAGAAAAAATTTGAGAGATTATTTGTGGGGCTAAGTTACAGTTTTCCAGGGAATTTGCCTTTATTTTCTCTGTGTTCCAGGTCTTTCCTGAAATTTAGACGCCCCTTTCTTCCCCTTCCTTTCTGGTGCTGTCTATCAGTGGTGGTGATCACCTTTGAGGAAGAAAAGCCCCACTTCCACTCACCATGGAGAACACTCAGCGTCTCTGCTTGATTGAGACAAGGGCAGTTTTTGGATGGGTCATAAAATGCTTCTAAAGTAGCCAAGAGTTAACTTTCCTAACCTTTTTATATAATAAGCATGTTACCACCAAGGTAACTTACCCAGTGGAGTCAACTACATAGTGGAATCACATTATTTACACATTTAACGTATGCAAATTCAATTCTACTAAAACACGGAAAGTGCACGAGTGAGAGAAAAATAACATTTTAAATAGCACACGTTCAACCTTCCTTTTCAATAAGTCCCAGGCTATAGATTAAATCAAATTTGAAACAGTCATTACATATAGAAAGAATGTGAGGATGGTTTTAAATGTTTCCCAGTAATTGATAAAGCATGTTCAGGTGGCCAGACAAGTGGGTGGGAGAGCTTCTTTCACATTTACAAGGGTTATTGAAGGTTGGTGAGAAGCAACACTTAAGAATTAGAGAAACTGGTAAAATCCTGTACAGAGAATGACATGATGAGAAGAATTGAAATTTTTATAAATTTACTAAGTGTTCAAAGGAGTGAAACACCTGATCGATTAAATTTCTGAGTGTTCTTTATGGATTTTCAGTGGTTATTTTTACCTACACTATTACCCCATTATGGCCTGTCCCCTGAATAAGATGCTACCAAATGGCATCTGTACCAATTTAGTTTGACAGTGTAAATTGAATAAGATAATGGCTATTTCATTAAGAAGCCAGTTCTTGGCTGAGTACTACTTTTTTTTTTTCATGTGGGCATGAACTTCTTTCTCATAGTAGAAGTCTTTGAAATTAAAATCTAGATTCTTTGACCATCCCAGCAGTTTGTGCCATCTACACCATTTTACTTTGTTGCTAGGATCTTTTTCCACCCATACCCACAACTTAGATAATTACTACCTTGGGAATGCATAACTACCAACTAAAAAAACCATAATTGGCTAAATTGTTTTCTAAAAAGATACTGTTTTAGTTGTACCTATTTTGTGAAGTACATTTTTCTTTCATAATCACACAGGTAAACATGATTAAAGATGATGGAACAGTTATTCATTTCAACAATCCCAAAGTCCAAGCTTCCCTTTCTGCTAACACCTTTGCAATTACCGGTCATGCAGAAGCCAAACCAATCACAGAAATGCTTCCTGGAATATTGAGTCAGCTTGGTGCTGACAGCTTAACAAGTCTTAGGAAGTTAGCTGAACAGTTCCCTCGGCAAGGTAGGTATTTCTTCTCCACCTTGATTAAAGAACCTAATGATTTTAAAAGGTGTCCCGTTACTGGAAGGATTTGCCTGTGTGTATATTTTACTTTTATAATGTTACTCGTATGCTTCATAATTACCTAAAAGGCAAGTGCCAGGATGTGCAGGCCACATTTTATAAACAGCCAATTGATATATTTTTTTTAATCCTCACCAGAGGATATTTTTTCCATTTCTTTTCAGAGAGAGTGGGAGGGAGAGAGAGAGATAGCAACATCGATGTGAGAGACACATGGATTGGTTGCCTCCCGCACACGCCCTAACCAGGGCCAGGGATTGAGCGTGCAACCAAGGTATGTGCCCTTGGCCGGAATCGAACCCGGGACCCTTCAGTCTGCAGGACCACACCGTAACCACTGAGCCAAACTGGCTAGGGCGATACTCACTTCTGCTTAATGGCAGCAAGAACATAGTGTTGTACCAGGTATTGTGTTAAGTTCTGGTTTATACACACATGGAGACCACAGGGCACTCACATTCTAATGAGAGAAAGTAAGAGGATACCCAGGTATGATTTCAGTGCGTGTGCAGAGATAGAGGTTTTTCCTGGGTGCATTATAAACAGAATGGTGATGACAACTGTAGCCTGTGGCTCTGGGTTTTCCCCTTATTTCAGATACCTCTTACACACTGAGGCAATTTTCAGTCTGCAAAAGTTCTCTATCTATGACTGCAGACAGGCACAGCCCGCTTGCAGCTTCTGAGCCACTGCGCGGTCTCAGCGCAGCCCGAGCTAACTTTCCTCTCAGACTCAATCTGACTAGGCAAGAGGGTGAAGATGCATTTGTGGCTGCAGCCGTTTGGAATGATGCTGGACCCTCTAGGAAGTGCCTGAACTCACAGTCAGTGGGACCCTGAGGCCTTGTAACTCCTGCTGACCAGCCTTTGCTTGCCCTTGTGTCAGCTATTCAGGACTGGGGACAAGGCCAATGCTGGGATAGGAGGTAGGGGTTTCTGCGCTTCCCAGCTCCTCACAGTGGCGCACAGTCTGGGAGCAAGTGATGTTTCCACAGGCAAAGAGTCAACACCCACTCTTACATCATTCTTTCTTCTATGTTACTTTTAGCTGGAGATTTCTGTGGATAAGTGCTATTTACGAATTCCTGATGAATGGAGGCTTATTTAGTCCTCAAGCAGACTGGCTTAATAGGAGTTACGTTGCAGAAGGAGCGACCTGGAAAAGTTATAACAGATTATTTATTGGACCTGGAAATTTATTAGACAGTTGTGAAGAACTTATGAAATCCATGGACATAGTTTTCAGAACCCACACACATACAGTTTTTCCTTTTAAATTGTGGTAAAATATACGTAACATAAAGTTTACTGTTTTAACCATTTTAAGTGTATAGTTCAGTGATATTAAGTACATTGACATTATTGTGCACCACTTAAACAGTTTTAAAAGTCTCTTGTATTTAAAAATAGAACCATAGTTCCTNAATAGAACCATAGTTCCTTTTTCCCTCCCACCCTCCCCATCATTTGACAAAGCAGATATACCAGAACCCCTGTGTTTGTAACTGGTGTAGTATATTTAGAGTACAGGTCTTGGCTCCAAATCAGTGATGAAGTGTGGTGACAAGGAGAGTTATGTTGGGACCAAACTGCCCACAAGTCACTGTATGGTCAAAGTTCTGTGTTCCAGGAGCTAGAACTCAGGCTGATGTCATCACCATTGCTTATCAAAACAGTACAAAATTTAGACATATTCACTTATATGGTTGAGGAATGGAGTGTACAGGTGGCCAAACAGGGAAAAAGGAGTTCTAAATAATAACTTTATTAAACTATGATAAGTAACATAACTTGAAAGGCAACAAAGTTTCCGAATTTTTTACAACTGTCATTTGAGTCCCACCTCTTTGAGTTTGCTCTACCACACTCTTTCTATCCTGGAAAAAATGCCATTTTGTCATATGAATAAAAATGCTTATCCATACAGTTTTAAAAAATATAGCATTATCACAATTATATTTTTGTTTAATCTTATTTATTGTACTTAATAGATGCAGCAACCATACATCCTGAATTTCCGAGATAGTTCTGGTTTCAAATGTGTTTTGTCACTCCTAAAAATCAAAGAGCCTATTATTTCAATGCTTATACTACATAGATACTTTCTTAAACCAAAAGAGATGGAAAAAATCTTGAATATTAATTTTTTACTTGGCGAATATAGAATTTTAAGAATAAATTATGTCTTTTTATTCAAACTAATCTGAATTACTCCATTTTGCCTATGTTTTACCTTCAGTGCCCATTGATATTGCCAACTGTATTTAGTGTATATCTAATGAAGTTAATGTTTTATTGATTTTAGTATTAAGTAAAAAATATGGCATTAGATTAGATAATATTTAGCTTTTTCTGAACAGCTATATAAGATTTAGACAGGAAGAAAGGGTAAAGTATCTGTAGATGTCTTTTTCTCAAAGACTAACTTTAAAATAAATTTTTTGCAGTGTTGGATAGCAAAGCACCAAAACCAGAAGACATTGATGAGGAAGATGATGATGTTCCAGGTAAGTGACATTTCTTTAGTTTTAAGATTTTAAATGAGATCATCCTGCTGATCTCATTTAATTCACTGCATAATGACTTACAGTTTTTTGTTGATGGTGAGCTCATGAATTTAAATTCCTTCACAATGGTGTGGATATGATCTAATGAAAAAGAATAAAAGCCCTCCCATTTAGAACTTAGAATCAGAAATTGTCACACAAGGCTTTGCTGCCTGTGTATGAATTTGGAATCACTGTGATTATAAATTTGTATGATTATTGTTATAACATTTCTGTGGGAATTTTGATTGACATATGAAAATGCTGTTCACCTTAGTATGTATAGACAGAAAAAGACTAACATTTCCTTAGTACTGTTTAAGCAAATAAATGAAGCATTATAAGTGACATGCCACCAATTCATTTATGCCCCTTGTCCTGTATACTTTCAAGCTAATTCTAGTAGCAACAGTTTTGTTTTGTTGGGATTAGAAGTTAGGAATTTTATTACCTCTTTTTTTTTTTTTTTTTTTTTTTTTTTACTC